GAGGAGCAGGAGGAGGAGGAGAAGGAGGAGGATAGCAGAAAATCAACGAGGCCTCCAGGAACCCGATGCAGGATACGGAAATACAGCAAGCGAAGATGGTGAACAGTTCTGGGCCTCTGATGCACTCCGTCTGGCAAATGCCTCACCCTGGAAAGCCAAAGAAGTCGACTCCCTGAAGGGTTCTCAGACGCTCAAGAGGAGTCAGTCTTCCAGAACCTCGATGCAAGGATCGAGGATCGAAGCGCCTCGATCCTCGTCCGATAGCAGCGCTGCTTACTCGACATCTTGCCTTAATCTTCTTCACGCAGGAGAACGGTGTGCACGGTGGCCAGAGCGGACAGGCACACGCGCGCTGAAGAAACACAGCACACAGAAGAACTATGCGCGCGGTGGCCAGAACGTATAGGCACACGCGTGCTCAGGGAAAACAGACGTCACCGAGAAGAGGAATCACGACAGGCTTGCCACTGCGATCGAGGTTGCCGCGCGTTGGGAAACAATACTGGTGCCCATGCGCTTCTTCAGAAACAAGCGTTTGACGCATGTTCGGCGGTGGACAAACCTCCCTTTAGTAAACCGCCCTTTAGTGAAAACGGCCTAGGACCGAAACCAACGGACCTGGACCCGCAAGAAGGACGGCCGCGACGCCCTCTCGCGAACCGAAAACGGCCAATTCGCTAATCGACGTGTCAGGGTAGGAGGTCTGTCCACCCCCGATCCTCCCCATCAGGAAGGCTGGAAGGAGGACCGCCAGTCGTGGCCCGGCTGCTTTTCCAAGTCCTGGTTTGGGCCCCTCGGCGGTTTGCAGCCTCCGCCATGGGCAGACGAGGAGGAGGGCGGGGGGGGGAGGAGGAGGAGGAGGAGGAGGAGGAGGAGGAGGAGGAGGAGGAGGAGGATGTGGGGGGGTGGGGAGGAGGAGGAGGGTGAGGAGAAGGAGGAGGAGGAGGACTCTGGAGGGTCACTTACATCCTCGTGGTCGGCCTCACCCAAAAGACCTCCGACAGGAAGGCCTGTTGCGCCCAAATGCTTGGCTTAGACGTCAAAATGCTGAATGTTTCTGTCCGCGTGGGCAGCGACGACTCTCAACTCGACCTTACCAAAGGCAACCCATTGCGAAGTCTGAATATCACCTTGGGCAACCCATTGCGAAGTCTGAATATCACCTTGGGATACTGCGCAATGGCACCCTCCAGCTTGTCGCTCCGACGTGAGGGGCGACGACACAGGTGGGCCCCAGCTCCAGACGGAAGGGGGGGGGGGGCGGCGACCCGGAGCCAGCAGCGCAGAGCCGCTTGGCCCGCGGGGGGGCAACCCCGCGAGACTTGTTGTAACGGCAGGCTGTCAGGCCCCCGTCGGCGATGGGTCGGCAAACTGGAGGCCGATGCACTCCCTCCTCCTCCTCTCCTTCCCTTCCCCTTCCCCCCCCCTCCTCCTCCTCCTCCTCCTCCTCCCCCTCCTCCTCCTCTTCTCCTCCTTCTCCCCCCCTACCTCCTCCTCCTCTTCCTCCTCCTCCTCCTCCTCCTCCTCCTCCTCCTCCTCCTCCTCCTCCTCCTCCTCCTGCCTGAGCCCATCCCCCCCCCCAACGTTGCCTCCTGGCTGTCGGGTAACTCTGCTCGCCGGCGGCCATTCGGGACGATCCGGGCAACCCCTGGAGGCCTACAAATGGGCACCAACACCAACACAGGGGGGTTGTCTCCACATGGGGAAGACGATCCTAGATTTCGGTGCTGGTGGCAATATTTCGGTCACTTCGCAAGCCAGAATACTACCACCATCACCGAGATCGGGATCTTCTTCCCTCGGTAGATGCACACCGCCGATATTGGTGTTGGTGTTAATCTCTGGGCCTGCGAAACCCGTTCCCCCTCCTGGGCGAAGCGCAGCCAAAGCATCCCGCGGGAGGAAGGCCGCCGAGAGACGGCGAAGACGCTCGAAAAAAACTCGGGCCTCGAGCCCACCCGCCCCCTCCCGTCGCCTGTGACTGGGAAACCGAGAGGTACCGATACCACCAGTCACTCCTCGGACCTCTCCCGGGGTGCAGTCTGACTATTTCCCCAATCTGTGCTTGCACTGAAGGAGTCCTGGCGGAAATTGAAAGATTTTGCGAAAGCTTCCCGCCGATTTTGTCAGCAGGCTGGGTTCCCGGGTTCCTGGTTCCAAGTTCCCGGGTTCCCGGTTCGGGCCCGATTTCGGTGGGGTCTGGGTTCCCGGGCTCCCGGGTTCCCGGTCGATCTCCTCAGCGAGAAACCATCCACTGATTGGGTTTTGCTCTGGTGTAATTAATTTTAAGTCGGGCCTGTTCTCTTACAGAGGGGATTTTGGGCGAAAAATTTTAAAGACGCAGAAAATACCCCAAACTAGTCAAATAATGCTCAACAAATCGTCCCCAAACTATCTTTATACTATTTTTGAATATTCCTCCTGTAGAGGGACAAGCACGACTCAATATTAATTCGAAGCGAATCCAGCCGTGACAACGAGGCCTCCCAGAAGCCCAGAAAGGCGAGAACGAGGCAAGGGCAGCGTTTCCCGTTCCTGTTCCTCCTGTGAACTCTTCTTTCTTGGCTCCAGCCTCCAGCAGCACCGTCGCAGCGAACGCGTCACGGCGGACCCCCGCGCGCGCGCCAGGGGCGTCGGGTGCGCGAGACGCGGACGATTTACGGGCCGGCTGGCCGAGGCGCTTGCGGACACCGCCCACCCCAGGGGCCTGCCGGGAGACCTCTGGCGAGGAGGAGGAGGAGGAGGACGAGGAGCAAAGAGCGAGGAATGGGGAGAGCGCGGGGAATGCAGAGGGGGGGGGCAGGAGCCTCGTCATTACTCCCCTTCCTCCCGCATTCCTTTTCCTTGTAAATCCGCTGGCCCCCTTGCGGGGCCATCAGGCTGCGAAGATTAGGCTTTCATGATCCCTGCACCAGTTGCAGATTCCAGTTTCCACTGTTACAATCCTCTTTCTGCTTCCTTACAGTTAACTGTTGCTGTCCGCGCGAGGGGGGAACCGAAAAGCGTCCTGGATAGCGTCCCAGAATCGTGTGCTCTGAATTCCCGGGGGACGTGGGGCACGTAAAACTAGACGAGATTCGCGCCCCCGAAGCCATAATCCCTCAAAAAATTACACGATGCTCGCGTCCCCGAGGCCATGAAGCATCGTCGATTACTGTAGTTGCACCCCAGAGGCCATAATAAGTACACAATCGTCGCGTTTCCGAAACCATAATCCCTTGTAAATTACAGGGCAGTTCCTAATACATTGGATTTTTAGAAATATATGGTTTTATACATGATTAATTCATGAATAAATCTATGCATGAACTCATCGTTGTTTATAATACTGAACCCCTGCATGTTTAATACTGCTCCCCACGCGGAGCATGTATTAAAAACAGCACTGTACCTGACATCTGCGTCCCCGAGGTCACAGACCCTCACAAATTACACCGTGTTCGCGTCCACGACGCCACAAACCCTTGAGAATGACATGTTCGCGCACCCCGGAGCCATATACCCTCGAAAACTGCACGCTGCTCGCGTCCCCGAGGCCATAAACAATAGTGATTACGCCATACTTGCGTCCCCGAGGACACAAGCCCTGGCAAATTAGCATACTCGCGTTCCCGAGGCCATGAACCCTTCTAAATTACACCATATTCGCGCCCCCGAAACCATAAACCTTTTTTGTCAATTACACAATGTCTGCGTCCCCGAAGCCACAAACCCCCGCGAATTCCACTATACTCGCGCCCCCGAATCCACAAACGATCGTAATTACTTAATATTCGCCCCACCGACGCCATAAACCATCGTAAATGAATATTGGCCCTCGCGCGAAGTCCCGACATCGCTTCAAGCCAGCCATCCCAACACAGATCTGGCAAGTCCCATTCTAAGAGAGGGGGGCCGGCGGCATGGGGGCGAAACCATTACGGATAACTCGCCCCTGTCGCACCCAGAGGCGCGCGCGTGGGCAGGGCGGGCTGGTCGTTTCGCCTGGGACTTTCCTACCACGCATCACCATTGAGCGGAAAAATGCCAGGGTTTCACGGATGGACGGCGGGTCGTTTTGGCGACACGGTTCTCGCCTCGGCGCCGCGCACAACCGCCTCAACAAATTGCAAAGAACTTCACGGACGGAGGGCGGTCCGTTTTTTCAAAACGCGACTCTCGCGTCAGCGGCGCGCACCCTCGTCGTTCAATGGCGCAACAGCTCCACGGATGGAAGGCGGCTGTTTTTCAAAATACGGTTCTCGCGACAGCGCCGCGCACGCTCGTCTTACAAACATGCAGAAGTTTCACGAATAGGGGCCAGCTCCTTTTCAATGTGTGGTTTTCGCCGTAGAGCCGCGCCCATTCGTTTTAAGAATTCACAACCGCTTCAAGGATTAGCATGGGTAACGTCCCAGAAATTGCGTTTTGGTACGATGCCACGACTGTCAGGGCGCAACGGTGGTATAGGTTCGCGGCACCGAAATCCCAAAAATTGTGTTTTGGCACGACTCAGGATCGTCGAGACGTAAACAGGAAAGTTGCCTCGCGGCGCTGAGATCCCAGAGAAGCTGAATCCTTGTATAAGCCTGCGAGGGAACTTGGAAGGAGGGTTCACTACAATATCGTTGATGAATATTGGGTTTACACTGGTCCTCCTCCTTTTCCTCCTCCTGCCGCCTCTTCCTCCTCCTCCTCCTCCTCCTCCTCCTCCTCCTCTTCCGCCTCCTCCTCCTCCTCTTCCTCCTCCTCCTCCTCCTTTTCCTTTTCTTCCTCCTCCTCTCCTCTCCCCATGGTTCGTTATAAATGAATTTTCCCTGTCGCACCCCCAAACGCGTTGGTAGGGCAGGTCGGGCGTTTCGCCTGAGACGCCATTTTCCATATATGATCCTGAAGCTTGGAATTTGCAGCATTTTCCACAGTTCGAGCCCGGGCCCTTTTTGTTCAATGCGGCTCTCGCCCGAGCCCCGCGCACGCTCCTCCAAAAAACTGTAAGAACTTCACAGATGGAACGCGAATGACTTCCAGAATGTGACTCTCGCACTAAAAATCAATCGCACTTAGTTACAAAATTTGGCAACAGCTTCACGGATGCAGGGCGGGCGGTTTGCAAAATTTGGCCCTCGCCTTAGCGCCGCGGACACTGGTCTTAAAATTGGTCACGCTTCATGGATGGACGGCGGGTGGTTCCCAAAATGTGGCTCTCGTTCGAGCACCGCGCGCATTCGTCTTCAAAGTGTGCAACCGCTTCACGAATGGAGGGCACGTGGTTTGCAAAATGTGGCTCTCGCCATAGCGCCGCGGACACTGGTCTTCAAAGCGTGTTCACGCTTAATGGATGGAGGGCGGGTGGTTTCCAAAATCTGGCTGTCGCCGTAGCCCTAAACCCCGCGCCCTGCTCCCCTACGACCGTCGACGTAGCAGTCGTCGTCGTCGTCGCCCAAGCCATGGCGTTGAGCAAGGTCGGCACGGGCGGGGGTCGGGTCTTCGGCCGCCGTCGAAGCCAGGCGGCGGCGAAGCGTCGGCCGCCAACCGGGGAACCCATGGTTGTTGGGATCGGCGAGCTCGCCGCCAGGGTGGGCGGCGCACCTGGCGGCGCGGGCGGGGCCGGAGCCAGTGGAGCCATGAGCGCCGTTCCCCGCCTCCCCGGCCAAGCCCTCCGCCGTGGGAGCGTCGCCTTCGCCCTGCAGGGGCTCGCGCCGACCTCCGGCCACCAGAGCGGCACATAGGAGCGTCTGCATTCGCGGGAGCGACACCGGTCGCAGCGATTGCCCGCGCGCCGCCGTCGTGGCCCACCCGTGCCGTTTGAAGGAACCCAGACATGATCTCATCGTAAAAACAATCAGGACGGCAAGTTTTTCGTTAATTTCAGCCCCTGGGGGCCTTTACCGGGCCTCGGGACCGTCAAAAAACGACTCAGGATGAAAAACAGGCCCCGGGGAAATTGTCTGGACTCCCGGGGGCGCCGTCCTGGAAAAATCAGGACGCCGCATGTCTGGGAAGCACCCGTAAGCAGGGGCCCATCTGGCCCATCGCACGTCACCTCCCGGATGGGCGCGACACCAGCAACGCATTGAGGGGCGTCCGCGTGACCGCTCAAGCGAAGCCAACGCCGCCGGACGAAGCCTGCGGGCGGCTGGCGCGACAGAAGCGGGCCGCTTCGCACAGCGCGGGCCATGTCCAACTCGCGCATTCGATCATGTCAAAGCACGCAGGCAGCAGCAGCATCCCAAGCCCTGCAAGGGGATCGGTGTCCTGGGCCGAGCTTCGGCGACGCTGGACGGACAGCGATCCGGGCAAGCCCTGCCCTCGTCTCGCCCAGGGTTCCCCAGCGGCGCCCCAAGGTCCGCACATGGCTCGCGGCCCTCCGCCGCCGCGCTTGTCCGTCCGTCCTGTCAGCAGAGAGGCGTTCGAAATGCGATGAAAACCCAGGGCGGCAAAAAGCCGAAGCATCGTGGGACAAAGGAGAAACTGCGTTCCCTGCATCGTCAACACCAAGTCGGCGGAAAGCCGAATCAGACTGGTGGGAATCAACGACGCTATATACAGGGTGGTCCGCACAAGCACGTTCTCCACCCCTTTTCAGCATCTGGGCGGCGAGAAACCGACTCATCACGTGAGAAAACTTCTGAAAACATCCCGTCAAAACAATGTCGGCGAAAAGCCGGCTCAACGCGTGAGAGAACGGCATCGTGATAGAGCGTCAAAATTGGGTGCGCGGCGATCGGCGGCGCTCTCCTCGGGGAGCCCTGGGCATACGTTGCCAGGGAACCCGAGGGCGCGCTCGAACCAGGATTTCGAGGCGAATCCTGCCGCGCCGCCGCCAATATTATCGCCGATCTCCTGCGGTTCCTCCTCCTCCTCCTCCTCCTCCTCCTCCTCCTCCTCATCATCATCATCATCATCATCATCATCATCCTCATCGTGCGCTCATCGCACGCGCCGACACGATGTTAGCATCGGCGTTTCCAACTGCGCTGACGGGGACGTTGACGTCAGCGCCCTCCAATGCACGGGCGATGACATTGTCGACGCAGGCCCCGATTGTGCCGGCGAGCATGCCGGGGTCGTTGATCCGCACTGCGTTGGTGCGGATGCTGGCGTTGGTACCCGCACGGCGTTGGCCAAAATGCCTCGATCAGGCAAGTTCTCCAACCATTTCAGCTTCCAGGCTGCGAGAAGCCGGTGCATCACGCGAGGAAGGTTCAAGCATCACATCCATACTAGTTAGATCGGCGAAAAGCCGAATCAACGCGTGAGAAACAAGCATCGTGAGAATGCGTTCAAAACTCGATGATCGGTACCTTGGGCGGCGATAGGCCGAATCACCGTGGGAGGAATGAATCACACCAGAGGTGCCACGAACCTGCGGCACGCCTGGGCAACACTGGCGGGAAGAGAACAGCTCCGCCAGGTTCCCGAAGAGCACGGACTGCTGCCGTGGGTCGGGTACACTCTCGTCGATAAAAATTCAAGGGCGGCGAAAACCCAGATCATCGCGGGAATCCTTGGGCAAGCGTCGTCAAAGGACCCCAAGGCGCGCTCGGAGTCCGGGTCGTGACGCAGCCAATTGTGTCGCGCCGATATCCTGCGATTCCTCCTCCTCATCACGCACTGCTCGCACGCACTGAATCGATGCCGGCATCGCTGTTCCCAACTGCGTTGGCGGGGATGCTGACGTCCGCGCCCCCTGGTGCACGGGCGAAGACGCTGACGACGGACGTCCCCGCTGTGCTGGCGAGGATACGGGGTCCTTGATCCACACTGTGCTGGTGGAGATGCTGGCGTCGGTGATGCGCGCTGCGCTGGCCAGGATTCTGGGGTCGCGCAGGCAAGCTCTCCAACCCCTTCAGCATCTGGGCGAAGAAAAGACGACGAATTACGTGAGAAAGGTTCCAGCATCACATCCGAACCAAGTCGGCGAAAAGCCAAGTCAACGCATGAGCAATCAGCATCGTGAGAGCGCGTCAAAAACGGGCCACCGGAATGTTCGACACCAGGGCGGCGACAGGCGGCCGCCTGGGGGGGCCCTGGGCATGCGTCGTCAGTGGGACCCAATTCTCGCTTCGACTCGAATTTCGACCGAATCCAGCCGTGACACCGTCAATTCTGCCGTCGATGTCCTGCGACTCCTCCTCCTCCTCGTTCGATGACCTCCGCGCTGTAGCTGATCGCGACGGGTTTTTTAACCAAGCTCTCCAACTTTGCACGCGCTTATCCTGGCACTGCAGCTGGTCGCGTTGGGTCAGACGCTGCGGACAGCGCCTCGCTGAGCAGTGGCCCCGCGTACCTCCACTGTTCATTTTTCCTGCAATCGCTCACTCCAGAAATGTAGCTGATCGCGTTGGACTCCAATCTGGGGGCCAGCTCCTTGTTGAGCAGCGGCGCGGCCGATGCTGCTGTTTACTAATTTGGCACACGTTGGCTCAGGCACTGTAACTAGCTGAACGCATCGGGCTCGGATTACGCAAGCCGCATCTCGCTGAGTGGCACTGAAGCCAGCTGTCAGTCATCTCCATCTGTACATCCGCTGGTTCCGAAGCCAAGGGGCGCACAAGGCCAGGCGGCAACGAGGGCTGCAGCTGCCGCCGCCCGCCCACAACCCAGCAGCGGCCGTCGACGCAGCGGCGTTCACGGCGGCAAAAGCGGCGCCACGCGCGCCCGCGGCTCCCGCGGCACAGGCGGCGCCGGCAACAGTGGCGGCGCACGGAATGCCCACGGCGCTTGCAGCGCCCCCGGCGCCCGCCGCACCCGCGGCGCCTGCAGCGCCAGCAGAGCCGGCAGCGCCAACGGCGCCCGCAGCGCCCGCGGCGCAGGCAACGCCAGCCGCGCTGGCCGCGCACGCGGCGCCAGCAGCGCAGGTAGCCCCCGTAGCGCTTGAAGAGACCGCGGCGACCGCGGCACCTGCGGCGCCCACGACGCTCGCGGCACCCGCGGCACCCGTGGCGCAGGCGACGGCGACAGCGCCAACGGCGCCACCGGCCCACGCGGCGCCCACGCACGCGGCACACGCGGCACCAACAGCACCAGCCGCGCCAGCAGCGCCAGCAGTGCCCGCGGCGCCAGCGGCGACCGCAGCGCCAGCAACGCCAACGGCGTCCGCGGCACACTCGCGGCGCGCAGCGCCGGCAGCGCTGGTAGTGGCGGCCGCCCGCTGCCGCCGCCGTGCCGCCATGCACTCCATGCCGTCGCAGCCAGAGCACGCTCCTGAGCCACTGGCGAGCTCGAACCCGGACGGCTTGAGCCAAAGGCTACGGATTGGATTGTGACACACGCTAAAATGGGATCCGTGGGTCTGGCGCGTGGACGCCACACGGGGAAAGTAACTTCGGAAACATGAAGACAGTGCCGCCCGATTTTGCGACGGAGCGCCTTGAATTTGTATAGATTCGAGACCCGTCAATAACCGACTCGCCCTAATCCATGTTTGCGCTTCCTCGACACACGGTGAACACCAAGCGACTCTGACGAGGAGGCACCTGCGGCTCGGCGTCATCGGACGACGACGACGACGACGACGACGACGACGACGACGACGACGACGGCAACGGCGGAGAAGACGACGACGACGACGACGACGACGACGAAGAAGAAGAAGAAGACGACGACGAAGTGGCGACGCCAACGCGCAGGGAGGAACAGCGCAGAAGGCACAAAGTACACCACCACCACCACCACCAGGCCTGGCCGGGGCTGCTAAACCTGTGGCTGCTAAAATCGACCTCAAGGAAGCTGTCTTCGTCCTTCCGGGAAGACGCCCGTTGACTGTTTCGCGTGCCGCGCCTCATTCCGGGAAGTTGCTCTTTCCTTCCAGGAGGGCCGTTTTAGCAGCCACGGTTTTGGCAGCCCTCGCCCAGCTTTCGAACCACCATGCCTGGCCAGGGCCACCCTGGGCCCCAGCACGGTGCATGCGCCCTCATGTAGGGGGCCACAAGCGAACCCTACCCCTGCCCCCGGCGATTTCTGAGGGGGAGGGTGGGGTTCGCCTCGTTCGGGAGCTCCCGAGCGAAGGGAACCCCACCCTCCCCCTCCGAAATCGTGGGGGGGGCAGGGGTCGGGTTCGCATGTGGCCCCCTACCCCTACAGGGGGATTTTATACAAACCAAAAAAAAATGAAAAATACCCCCAAACTGCCCCAAAAGGGTCAAAAATATACAAAAAATAGTCCCCAGACTGTTTTTGGATTATTTTGGGAGTATTTTTTTATTTTCGTCGATCAGCCCCCTATCCTGGTCGAGGCCAGCAGGGCCTGTGCACCACACACCACCCCGGGGCGCAGGACGGCCCCTGGCCGGGCACGCGCTCCCCGGCCCCGAGGGCGGTGCACGGCGCCCTCTGCCGAGGGGCAAAGGCTAGGGATCCGCTCAGGAGAGGGGGGGGGGTCGAGCTGGAATCCTTGGACGACCCTATCCCTGGACGCCAGGAGAGGAGGAGGATAGTCCATCGATTACTGCAGTATTTCTCCTGCGCCGCCAGCGTTGCTCGCCATGGCAGGCCTGTTTTACGGTTTCGCCGTCCTCCCGAGTGGGGCGTGACGCTTCGAGGCGTCCGATCGGACCTTTGCTTGCTTTTGCGAGCTGGAATCGGCGATGCCTCGCCGACTGATCGGTGCGAGGGCCCCGATGGCAAGCACCCCACGTTCCTGGGCGGGGTGCGCCAGCGGACCCCTATCGGCGATCAATGAGCGATCGGGGGTCGATGCATCTCCCCTGAACCTACAGGGCAGTTTTTGACACATGGATTTTTTGAAAATAGTTGATGTTTCATGCATGAATAATGTATGAGCAAATGTATGCATGATCTCCTCGTGGTTGGTAGCACTAAATCCCCGCATGTCTGATACACGATCCGCACGCGGAGCGTGTATGAAAAACGGCACTGCAGCCTTCGGGCCACGGGTCGGCTCTCTGGCGGCCCCGCGGCACCACCTGGGCCCCGAGGCCGGAGGGCCGCCGAGAGCCGACGAGGGGGCGCCCGACGCTGCCAGAGCCCCCCTTGACGCTGTCGGAGCCCACCCCCTCACGATGCCAGAGCAGCCAAACTGATTCTTGGCGGCGCGCAGAGGGGGGCAGGGCGAGGGGGGAAGGCTTCTTAGCAGCACCCCTGCTTCTTAGAAGGCGCGGGCCTTGTCTGTAAATGTAAGGCCCGCGGCTTCTGAGAAGCAGCCTCCTTCTAAGAAGCCTTCCCCCCTCCCCCTACCCCCCCCTGCGCGCCGCCAAGATTCCACGCAGCCTGGGGCGACGAATGAAGTCACAGCGAGGGCTGACGGTTTCCAACGGCGCCGGCTCGAGACACTCGCAGTTCCCTTCTTCACCACTGACATTCTCTCACCACGATCAGGACCTCTCCCCCCCCCCACGCGTCTCGACCTCTCCACCCCCTTCTTGCTCCCCTCACATTGGCCCTGACCTGCGGAAACAACAACAAAAAACGCTGCTGCTCGGCCGGCAGGAGACCCAAGTACCGCTGCCACCAGCCAGGAGGGTGGCCGCTCCCTTCCCTCGAGCTAGTGGAACCTCCTCCGGGGAACTCCCGGGAGAGAGTTGCCCGGAACGAGGCGCCACCACCCCTAGCTGGTGGGAATGGTACTTGTTTGTCTCTGGTGAATCGACCCTGTTGCCCACATCGAAGCAGGAAAAAAACACAAAAACATGAACTTTTGGCGCTCCGCGCGGATGTCTTGGACTCGCGCTGGACACCCCTCCCTAGCGCGCGGAGCGCGCCAGGGGCGGCGCCGGAGGCGCCGCCCTGGGGGCCCAGGCGCGAGTCCAAGAAATCCGCGCGGAGAGCCAAAATTTTATGTTTATGTGGTCTCTGGGGACTGTCGGGTCGGGCGAAAGGGGGAGATAGCAAAGGGGGGGTTTGAGAATCAGCTCACGTAGCTGATTTTCCGGGCGCCTCCCGGCGCCGGAGGCGGCTATGTATCGATGAATGGGCCCCTCGTTGGGGCCGAAACCAGCTGCATGCAGCAAATTTCGTAACCCCCCCTTTCCCAATCCCCCCCTTTCGTCCGGCCCGAATGTGGTCTCTGGGGACTGGCGGCACCGCACCAGCGCCGCAGCACGCGAGCGGCGGCGCTCGCGACGCGGCCGCCGGGCGGCGGCGCTGCGGCCGCGGCTCCGCGCGCGCGGGGCGAGGGAGCCGAGCGGGCCGGCCGCCGCGGGCGGCCATCTCGCCTCGGGGCGGTCGGCCGACGACGACGCCGACGACGACGACGACGACGACGACGACGGCGACGACGACGACGACGACGACGACGACGATGACGACGACGACGACGACGACGACGACGACGACGACAGCGCTCGCCTTCGCCCTCTGACCCTCTCTGCCGATGCCGCAAGCGCTCCGCTCACGGCGGGCGGCCCGCACACGACAGCAGGAGGCGCTCGGGCAACTGCCGCGCACGCGCACGCTCCTCCGACATCTGGGGGCAGAGAGAGAGAGATAGGAAGGCACCGACTATACACCAACACCGATCCTGGCCAGGATCACCCTGGGCCCAGGATCGGTGTATACGCCCTCCTGCCCTGGGCAAGACGGCATATACACCGATCATGGGCCCAGGGTGATCCTGGGCCAGGATCGGTGTTGGTGTATAGTTGGTGCCCTCCGAAGAGAGAGAGAGAGAGAGAAAGAGAGAGAGAGAGAGAGAGAGCAAGAGCAGGTTCAATTACTGCCTGCTCGTGCAGTGGTTCCCGTGGACCTGCCCACGTACCCCAGCTTTCGTAATAAAGGGAGGGGGGTCTCATTTCGGGGGGGGTCTCTTCCAGGCTATCTTGGAGGGCCTGGGGGGGTCTGGGGACGATGTTTTGGAGGGTTCTCCCACGGGGGGGGTCTGAAATGGCTTGTCTTGGAGGGTCCAGACCCCCTCCCTTTTATTACGAAATATGGAGTACTGCCTGCTCGTGCAGTGGTTCCCGTGGACCTGCCCACGTACCGTTGTTTCCCTTGGCTTACGGAGTCTGGCTGAGCACCTCGGGCCGGAGGCCCTGGAAGACTCGAGCTAAACACCCTCGCATGTGTTGGCTCGGAGCTCCTATACGAGGCTCACCAAAGTCACACAATTCATGAAAATCCTAAAACAGTAGTTAGCACATGCAGGGAATGACAAAGTTCATGTCCTAACGAGCATGGAAGCGCAGATGGGGGCTTGAATAGATCGCGTTCCTGCATCCAAGAGGAAGGCCACTAATACTAGGGGGGGAGGCGAGGTAAAGAGCACAAGAAGGAGGGGAGAAAGGGATATTGGGGAACAGGCAGAGGTGGACGGGTAGGAAGCGGAGGGGGCAGGGAAAAAATTGGAAAAGAGGCAAGGGGGAAGAAGAAACTGCTGCCAACAACCATCCTGCGGTGTTGGGTCCTCGTTTTGAAGACACAGTGCCCATGTAGGCGCACATGGCGCACGTCACGCACCGGGCATGTGCGGCGCAGCTCGCGGCCTTTGCGTACCTGGCTGGCGTTTGCATTGGTTCCCGATGGTTGTCGATTGTGGCTCCTGCTCATGCTGAGTCTCCGGTGATACTTACAATGAGAGGACTGGTGGGCGCGAGGGAGACAGCTCGCAGCGCTCTCGCTGGGAACTCTGCTTCCCCCAACTAACAGAGCCGAAGGTCCACTGGCCCCCATCAAACCCTGAGTGGGCAAGGGCGCAGACTCTGGGCAACCCTGAGCGCTCGCAAAGTTCCTTCGGCAATCAAGGGGCAGCGGAGCAAAGAGGAGCAGCGGAAGAGAGCAGGACACCCCCTTCGAAACCGCAAACCCTGTTAAGAGCCCTGCCAATAGAAGGGTCGTCATCTGCGCGGTCCTCAAGCGCACTGTTACCGGCACCAGCCAAACTGCGAAGGACTCCTGAGTGGCGCCATCCGCCTGCAACAGCTGAGTTTCGACAGCTCCCGCGCGGCCATCGAGCGCCTGCGGCTTGCTGGCTGCCTCCCGCCGCGAGCGACGTTCGCGGATGCCTGAAGGGACCTCATCAAGCGCCGCCAGGCGCTACTCAAGCCCCTGGTCAGCGCTGCTGTCGGAAGACGCGTGCAGGCGAGGGTTTGTCTCCTCGGTCTTCTGCACAATGGGCTCCAACCGCGCCTGATGGTCGCTGCCGGAGGACCGATTGAAATGGACCTGGCGGCATTCACAGCAGCCCATATCTGAACACCAAACTTGCTCAAACACCTTTCCTTTCTGTCTTCCTGAACCAACCGTCGTAAACTCGGCTGTCTCGCCCGCGACCTGCTAGCGCGCCTTGCGCATGCGCTCACGGAAGTCCTGACAGGCCACGACAAAGCGCGGGTCCTCCCCAGCCACTGACATCACTGAGTGACCCGAGCACAGTAACAACGCCGTGGCGTTGCTGCCGGGAGAATGAAATCGACAAACAGGACGTCTGGCTGCTTGACTTCACGGGGGCCCTGAACCGCACTGGATGGCCCCGCACTGACAGTTAGCCAGGAACGAATCGCTTCAGTCGAAAAAATCTCCAGTTGAAAGGACCCGCGGTGCCTCCTCGCCACGAGCCATGGCCTCGGACGCAAGCGAAAGCACGCACTAGCCTGCGCCCTCTTTTATCTCTATTTTTATCCTCGCCCCAGGCGCCACGACGCGCAATCGTAATCAGTCGAAATATGTCACGGCACAATATGCACGCTGCTTGGCACATGGCACCACGGCGGCACTCCGCGCCGACTCACCGAGCGTCGGCTGTCGGAAACACTCCTGCTCGAACAAACCTTTCAGGCGGCGTCACCCTGCGCAAGAAGCCCCCATCTGCATGACTGGACCGCCCCCGGGCAACCTCTCAAGATGTCGCTGGCGCAATCGGGCCTCGCAACCGCTGCCCCGCAAGTCTCATGGGCCGAGATATCGGCGTAAAAATCGCCCAGCCCCCCTCGACGGTTTCGCGGCCGGACCCCGGTCGCAAGTCGCACGCGAGATCTCCCCCAAATGCTTCTGCCATTTCCGAAACGGGTACCGCGGTTTCAGCCGTCGCCTCGCCTCGACCAACAGCCCCCCCCCGCCCCCTGGCAACGCCGCCGCAAAAGCGGGCAGACAGCGCCCCGACGAGGAGCCCTCGCCCCCGCCCCATCAAAAAAGCACAAGCACGGGTTGAAACGGCCAAAAATGAAACCAGCACATCGCAAGCAATCATCGAATTCCTTGGACACAGCGCAGGGGGGCGCAATTCCCCCCACGCGAATTCCCAGTTGCCCCAGGACCCCGCCCAACATGTCCAGACACCCTCCTGGACAACGCCGCGAACAACGGAACGCGACGCTCGATGTTCTGACTCACCCGGAAAGTACAGCGCACATTTCAAACAGAAGAGCCTAAAAATGGCCACCCACCATCAGTCGGCGAAAGCCTGGCCGGCAGGAATAACGGCTGGACGCCGCGGCCTTCCAACCTGACTCGGGTCGGGAAGACCGCGGCCGAGGCAACCCCTCGGGGATCACCCCGCCGTGATATCACGTCGGCGAACCACCCCCCGTTCTCCGTCGCCACGCAATGTCCGAGGATAACTCGATCACCCCAACTGTCCTGGACCTCAGTCGGGATCAAGCTCTCGATCAAAACGGCCATCGCTTCGTCGGCCTTCCGATGCACCTCGGAACGCGCATCATTGAATCTTGGCACCTCGAAAATCCGTCGCGAAAGTGAACCCGCAAGAAAAGCTGTAACGGAAGCTCGCCACCCGGCGGCGTCGGCGCCCCACCTGCCTGGCGCGCGCGACCACCACGGCCGCTGATGGGGACGTCCGCGGGCCCCACCTTGACAAGCAGCGCCGCGTGCTCGGTTGCCGCGGCAGGCGGGCGGGGCCCTGGAGCGAGCAATCCCGCCAAGCGTAGGAATGGCGTCGGCGGCAACGTCCGCAGCGGACGCAGCGGGGCAGAGGGGGCGCTCAGTCGCGGTAGGTCGTTTCCGTCGCCACGAGATCAACATCGCCGTCGGTGGGCATTGTGGGCAACCAGGGTCTTCTCGACGCTTGCCTTGGCACTTGTTGAGCCACTTCGATAACCCTCGTTCCCCCGCCATGCATTGTCGCGACCGCGCTGGCGTCGGCGGCAGCGGTGCTGTTTACTCGCCCAGCGGTGCCGGGGGAATCGCGGGCCTCCGCGGTGCCGGACGTCTCGGCACCATGGCCCATGTCGACCTTTACGGAGCACCCGCGGGGCCCCCTGGAGGCTTCGAGGGGCCCCGCGCCAGGTCGGCCCCGGCCGGCAGAGGAGAAACCGCGGTCGGCAAAGTCCGGAGCGCGCGCGCCCTACGCCCGTGACCAGACCCCGCTGTTCATCACGCAGCGCGTGCTCCACAAGCTCCTCTACATGGCGCTCGCTAGTCGTCGCGGGTCGCAGCTGTGACGGATCCGCCAGAGATAAATAAACGCCCCCGATGTGATAACCACCTGCGCGTTTACCTGGTACCCGATCAAGATCGCCAATACGCGCCACCTAGCGCGCATCTTCTTTTCCTTCTTCCATATGCCACCTTGCACCTGGGCTGACACTCGCACGCGGCCCAGCACCGCGCGGCAACCGCCCGGCGTAAATCCTGACCAACCTGAGCCGGGAGCAACGCCAGCATGGCCCGGTGTCGCACCGAGCGGGCGCGAGAGCAAGCTGGATCACACATGTAAGGTCCTGAAGTAGATCCACAGGCATTCGCGGGCCCTTTCCGAACACGCGGCGGCGGGAGAGAGAAACCGACCAAAAGCGGCATCTGCCTCGCAGCGATCGCGGCATCGACGCACTCGGCCCACTCTTGGCAGCGGGCCGGCTGAGCTTCCAACAGCCGCTTGCACGTCGGGTTCCGCCAGCCCCCGCGCGGTTCTCTATCCTTGTCTGTCACTGCCTTCTCTCCAGCTACCCGCGCAGCATCCACCCCCTCCAATTCCCAAGGACCCCCGAGAGCAGCACCCACGTCGCCTCTGCCAGCGCCAACAGCGGCACGCTCGGCAGGGCCAGCCCGCCGACTTCAGCAATGGCGATGACCCTCACGGATACAATCAAACGTTGCCCTGGAGCACCCACTGACACGACGATCTGGCGCGACGACGCGCCATCTGCCACATTACGGGCCGGCCCCCACTGACGCCCTTCCAACCCGGAGCGCTCGCGCCGCCCACGCCGAACTACTCGCTAAACGTCAGGGCGCGACGTCTGGAGACAGCCCAGATGGTTTAGGCATCTCGTTTCGTCGCAGATGTCGCAGTGGGAAGTTCGGGCCAGTCGGGTCGACCCGTCGCGCCCCCCCCACGCGATCCGAACCATCCCCCGAGGGGCCGCATGGCCCAGATTGACGCGCAGCTTCTCGAAGGCATTCCGAACATTCTGGCCACTCGCCTGCCAGGGGCGCCTGGGCGGGCCCACGCCAGCCCCCAAGCAACATTGCTAAAGCTGCGTGGCCAGCAGCTGCAGTCTCTCTCGCTCTGCGGGTCCGTGGAAACCACCCTGCAACGGCAGGGGGCTCAAGCCCCTCTGGGACATCCAAAGCGACTCGTCGCAAGCGGCCAAAAACTGCTCGAAGCACCCGGCACCTCGGGAGAGCGCAAAGAGCTGTCGAACGGAAACCCCCAAAAAAAAAAAAAAAAAAACGCGGCGCAAAACGCTGTCGGAGGCCCCTTCGATCGCCCCACGTTCGCGATGGCCCAATGACGACTGGCCGACGCGCCTCGCAAAACGCGGGGGTCAGCTGTCGCAATCCACCCGAACGTGTCCAACCGCACTGCGGTTTTACGTTCACGAGCTGCTGCGCCTCTGGCATCCGCCAAACGAGCGAGCGAAATGGGCGTTCGAACATTGCGTCGCATCCCCGATCGGGCTGCGCACATATATATATATATGTATATATATATATGTGTGTGAGCGTGTGCACGCGTGCACTCGAGCACCCCACGCACTCGCGCATCTTGCGCGCGCTCCGCGATGCACGCGCGGCGCGCGCTCACGTCGCAAAGCCGTCGCACACTGCACATGGAGGAAGTGCTACCAGAAGTCGGGGTCGCAACATCGCCATTCGGCTGGCGACCACTTCAGCGCGGTAGTTTTTTCCTGGGCCCCCGTCGACGTCCTCTGACTGATTCGAGAGAATAGTCGGCCACGCGCCACTGCGTTTCTCCTGGAACAACCAACTGACCTCCTCGATCTGCTGTGAAAAAATGCGGGTACTTTCGTTTGAGCACCAATGTCCAAAGGGCCTGATCCATGTCGGGCTGGGCCTCCTGGGACTGCAGCAAATCCTTGGCGGCCGCCGGTCCCGGCTGTAGCTCGGCTCGCACAGGCCGCATTCGTTCGAGTCCTCGGACGTGGTCTCCGCCTCCAGCGGGAATTCGATCCCCACCTGGTCGACGCAGGGTGCGTCGAAGTCGCTGATGTCCATGAACTCCAACACTGGCATGATGTAGTTATTGGACGGAGTCTCCGACCAGCTCCACGGTCGCGCCTGGCGCGCCGAGGGTCGGCAACAATTTTCGTCGCGAGACCCATATGTCCCTCGAAGAAGACCTTCAGCCGGGACTTGCCGTGCAACCGGGGGACGTCTCCTTTCGCTGCGGCTGCCACGGTGTGACCACGCCGTCCTCCAATCATTACTGAAAATGTGACTGCACGAATTGTCACCTCGAGCCCCCAACTTCCGAACCAAGACACATATTCATCATCATCACCACCATCACCATCATCAGAATCATCATCATCATCCTCATCATCATCATCATCATCATCATCATCATCATCATCATCATCATAGTACTCGTGCGAGCCTGAACCGTTCACTTCTCCGCTAGCTTCTGCAGGTCGTTCACGCCGACGAGCTTCCTGCCACAGTCGGGGTCGACGATGCCGCTGCCCACTGGGCAGGCGAACATTATCTCCGCGACGTCAACGTCACTCCTGTCGTTGCACTGGCGTCGATCACGAAGCTGCGCGAGCACCAATAACACGCTGGCGTCGCGTGTCCCAGGGCCCTCCAGCGCCAAGAAGGATGCACCGGTACCAGTCGCCGGTCTGGGCCCGAACTTTCATTTGATGTTGCCTCTGCCCTTCTTATGACGCTCCCGTGACTAATGCCATATTGCACGAGCGGCAGCAAGCATCCATTGGCATCGTCAAGCTCTCAGCAAGCGGTCGGCCTCCTGAAGGCACGGGCCCCATAAGCATCGTTGATATCCTGCCTCTGATCCTTTCTCTAGGCCGCCAGTACCTCGATCACTTCTGCTTCCTCTAACCCCTCTGCGCTACCCGCGGCGCCATCAGCACCATCGTCCTGTCCTGCCACTAGAGTCTCGATATCGTTGAAGTCGTCGCTTCCGACCTATTGTGAGCTGTAAAGCCCCTCAATCTCGCAGCTCCAGTCTCCATCGCTGTCGTCATTCTGCTCGGCCAATAACGCGCCGACCTCGACACATCGCCGCCTCGGTGTTCTAGGTCGGGAAAACAGCACAAACCGTCATCTCCGAGACCTCGGCAGCATACTTGGTCATGTTTGCCTCGCGTTGGCCCATTGGTCTGCCATGAAAGCACAGCGATGCAGTAGCATCCGAGCCTGAGCCTCCACAGGGAACTGCACCTGAGCCTTCGCCGCGCCCTTCTGGAACAACTCCTCGGCCCGCCCGAGCCAGGAGGTAATGGTCTCCCCGTCGGCACCAGGCAGCCCGAAGACCTCCTCCAGGTGCTCGCAGAGGACATCCTCCTGCTCCTTGGAAAGCCATCTCTTGAGTAGCAGGTCCGCTATCGCGTTTTGTGTCCGCCCTCCTTTCCAGAATCCTCGAACTCCAGGTGGTCGACGATCTCTAGAGCCGAACCCTGCAGCAACGCATACACGAAGCTTGGCTCCACTTTCCTGAAGGTCATTGCGGCCGCGGTCCATTTGATCCACATCTTGAGTTCCTGATCTTGCAGGAACCGTTGATGACGCCACTCCTATGGCGCCTGGATATTCCAGCTCCGCTACCATTCAGAAAGTAAAAGCTTCCCACTGGCCTCCATCAAATCCTGGATGGATGAATATGTGGGCTTTTCGAGCTACCCTGAGCGCTCGCGAAGTTCCCTCGACAGTCAAACGGCAGCGGAGCAGCGAGAGGTGCAGTGGAAGAGAGCAGGACAGGTCTGAGGCACGTACTGCCAACAGCACACTACCCCCAGGTCTGGACTTGGTGAAGGCGACCAATCAGAGGGCCAGTGATAGCCCAAGATGGCTCCAAGAGGGGCCCAGCTAGCCCAAGATGGCCTCCAAAATGGCACAAGATAGCAGGAGGTCGCTCAAGATAGCTTCCAAAATACTCCAAGAGGTCCCAAGACCGCTCTAAGACGGGCCCACGTTGCGTTGAAGCCTTCCGAGGGCTCCCCCAAGAGCCCAAATTTCTTCCAAAACCTCCGGAATGTCAATGTCCTGTGCCTTCTACTAGTTTCACTTCTGCTGGCGCTCCAAGGCCTCAAGATGGCTCCAAGATGGCCCAAGAGGGCCCAAGAGGGTCTAAAGAGGGGCCCAAGAGGGCACCAAGACGGCCCCAAGAGCGTCCGAGAGCGCCCGAAGGGCGCCCCAAGAGGGCGCCAAGATGTGACTTTGGGGGTCCAGAGGGGGGCCCGAACAAGGAGGCCCAAAAGTAGCCCCCAAGAGCTCCCAAGAGGCCCCCAAAACGACCTAAGAGGCCACCAAGAGCCCCCCCGGAGACATCCCAAGAGACTCCGAGAGGCACCCAAGAGACATCTAGATGAATGAGGCTCCCGAGGTATCCAAATGATGCCATGCTCTCCCGAGAAGGACAGCTCCACTAAGCATCGTTCCTGGATGGGCTGGTGGAGATACGCGAAACGTTAAGAATCACTAAAAGGGGGAGGAGGCGAGCAAGACAGGAAAAGAGGGAGGGAAAGGGAAGGTGGGGGAACAGGCGGAGGAAGACGAGTAGGAGGCGGAGGGGGGCAGGGGGAGGAGTGGGAAGAGGGGACGAAGGGTAGGACGGGGAGGAGGGGAGGAGGAGAAGGAGGGGTGGAGGAGGAGGAAGAGGGAGGAGAAGGAGGGGAGGAGGAGGAGGAGGAGGAGGGGGAGGAGGAGGAGGAGGAGAGGAGGAGGAGGAGGACGGCGACGACGACGACGACGACGACGACTACAAAGGCGAGGGAAGCGAGGGCGAGGGGGCCAGCGAGAAGGAGAAGGAGGCAGAAGAAGGGGCGGGTGCGCCCCCTCCCGTGCCCGTTCACCCGCCCTCGTCCTGGCTTCGTCTCATCCTCCTCATCCTCCTCATCCTCGGCCCTCTGCCGCCGCCCCGCTCCTCGTCTTTGGAGTCATCATCGTCGTCCTCCTCCCTCCTCCTCCTCCCTCCTCCTCCTCCTCCCCCCCAGCCTCCTCCTCCCCTCCTCCTCCTCCTCCTCCTCCTCCTCCTCCTCCTCCTGCTCCTGCTCCTCCTCCTCCTCCTCCTTCTCCTCCTCCTCCTCCTCCTTTGGAGGCATCATGAGATTCCCCCCGCCACCTGGGAGTGAGGAGGCAGCGGCGCGAGAGGAGAACAGGGAATGCCTTGGAGACTCACATGAACGAGGCGAAGAAGTCGTCGTCGGCCACCTGGGGAGGCAACGCCACGAGCAACATTCACCCCTGCCGACCTCGCCCTTCCCACCCATGTTCCTCCTGTTCCTCCTCCTCCTCCTCCTCCTCCTCCTCCTCCTCCTCCTCCTCTGCCTGTCTTCCTCCTCCTCCTCCTCCTCCTCCTCTTTCTCCTCCTCCTCCTCCTCCCCTCCTCCGCCTCCTCCTCCTCTCCTCCCCTCTCCTCCTTTTCCTCCTCCCCCTCCTCCTCCTCCTCCTCCTCCTCCTCCTCCGCCGCCTCTTCCTCCTCTTCCTCCCCCTCCGCCTCTTCCTCCTCTTCCTCCCCTCCTCCTCCCCCTCCACCTCCACCTCCTCCCCCTCCTCCTTTTCCTCATGCTCCTGCTCCTGTTCCTCCGTCTCATCCTGCTTTTCCTCCTCGTCCTCGTCCTCCTCCTCCCACCATCCTCCTGCATACCTGTTCCTTATAATCAACTTCTCCCTGTCGCACCCCGAGGCCAATTCTTAGGGCGGGCCAAGCGTTTCGCATGAGACTGCCACCACGTATGACCCTGAAGCGTTAAACCGTGGCAATGGTATGGAAGGAAGGTGGTATTCAAAATATTGCTCTCGCTTTAGCGCCACGCACACTCGGCATAAACAGTTGCATGTGATCATGTGCGAAAGCGTCACGGATTGAGGGCGGGCGGTTTTCAAAATGTGGCTCTCGCCTTAGCGCACCGTACATTCGTTTTTAAAAAATGCAAGAGTTGCACGGAATGACGGGAACCCGTGTTCAAACTGTGGTTCGCGTCTTAGCGCCGCGCACATTCGTTTAAAAACATGCAAGGTATTCCTGGATTGAGGGCGGCTAATTTTCATAAATGCGCTTTCTGCCGTAGCGCCGCGCGCGTTCGTTTCAAACATGTGCAATAGTTTCACGGAACCCCATGACCAAAATACCACAAGCGGTTTTGGAAGGATTCAGGATTATGAGGGCGCAGAAGTTACGTTCAGTCGCGGCGCTGAAGTCCCAAGAGAGGCGTTCTGGCACGACTCAAGACCGTCACAACGCAACAGTCAGGTTGATCCGTGGCGTTGAAATCCCGAGAACAATGTTTTGGTATGCGTCAGGGTCTTCGAACGGTTGTCTTTCAACGAGGCAGTTCCCTCAATGGAAGTGAACCGCTGTAGGGGCCTAAGAAGAGAGAGCTTGGAGGGAGGGTTTATTCCAGACTCGTTGATGACCCTTGCGTTTACACTGGTACTCCTTTTCCTCCTTTTCCTCCTCCTCCTCCTCCGCCATTCCCCTTCCTTATAATCAACTTCTCCCTGTCGCACCCCGAGGCCTGTTTTTAGGGCGGGCTGGACGTTTCGCCTGAGACTGCTTCACCATGACCCTGAAACTTAAAAAGTGACGACAGTTTCACGGATTGACGGCAGGTGGTTTCCAAAGTGTGGTTCTCGCCTCGGCGCCGCGCATCTTCGTTTTAAACATATGGAAAAGCTTCACGGACTGAGGGCGGGTCGTTTGCAAAATGTGGTTCTCGCCCCAGCGCCGCGCGCATTCGTCTTAAACATTTGCCAGAGTTTCACGGATTGGGGCGGGAGGTTTTCAAAATGTGCTCTCGTCCTAGCGCCGCGCACAATCGCCTTTAAACGTGCAAAAAGTTTCACGGATTGAGGGCGGTTCCTTTTCAAGCTGTGGCTCTCGCCTTAGCGCCACGTACATTCGTCTGTAAACTTTGTAAAGAGTTTCACGGATTCCCATGATCAGCGTACCAGAAATTGCGTGTAGGAAAGATTCCATATTCTGGGGGCGCCACAGTTACTCTGGTTGGCGGTGTTGAACTCCCAAGGATGGCGTTCTGGTACCATTCAAGATCGTCAAGACGCAACATTCAGGTTGATCCGTGGCGCTAGAATCCCGAGAATAATGTGCTGGCATGCTTTAGGGTCTTCACCCGGCTGTCTTCCAACGAGGCAAATCCTTCAGTGGAGATGAACCGCTGTAGGGGCTTATGAAGAGGGGGCTTGGAGGGAGGGTTTCTTCTAACATCGTTGATAACACTTGGGTTCACACTGGTCCTCCACCTCCCCATCGTCATCGTCCTCGTCTTCGTCCTCCTCCTCCTCCTCCTCCTCCTCCTCCTCCCCCTCCTCCTCCTCCTCCTCCTCGTCCATGTCTTCCTCCTCCTCCTCCTCCTCCTCCTCCCCCTCCTCTTCGTCCTCCTCCTCCTCCTCCTCCTCCTCCTCCATTCCTTTTCCTTGTAAAGAACTCCTCCCTGTCGCACCCTGAGACCAATGTTTACGGCAGTCCGGGCGTTTCGCCTGAGACTTCCTCACCCTGTATGACTCTGAAGCTTAAAAAGAGTTTCACGGATGGAGGGCGGGTCGTTTTCAAAATGTGGTTCTCGCCTTCGCGCCGCGCGCATTCGTTTAAATCATTGCAAGAGCTTCACGGATTGAGGGCAGGTGGTTTTCAAAATGTGGCTCTCGCCTTAGCGCCGCGCACATTCGTCTGAAACACTAGCAAGAGCTTCACAGATTGAGGGCGGGTGGTTTTCAAAATGTGGCTGTCGACTTAGCGCAGCGCACATTCGTCTGAAACATTTGCAAGAGCTTCACGGGTTGAGGGCGGGTGGTTTTCAAAGTGTGGCTCTCGCCTTAGCGCCGCGCACAATCGTCTTCAAAATTTACAAGAGCTTCACGGATTGAGAGCGGGACGTTTTCAAAATGTGGCTCTCGCTTCAGCGCCGCGCACACTCGTCTTAGAAGTCTGCATAAGCTTCACGGGTTGAGGGCGGGTGGTTTTCAAAATGTGGCTCTCGTCCTAGCGCCGCGAACATTTTCCTTTAAACATTTGCAAAGAGCTTCACGGATTGAGGGCGGCTCGTTTTCAAAATGTGGTTTTCGCCCCAGCGCCGCGCACATCCGTTTTAAAAATGTCGGGTTCCCCTGATCAGCATACCAGAAATAGTGTTTGGGAAGGATTCAGGATTATGCAGGCGCAACAGTTATATTGATTATTGGTGCTGATGTCCCGAAAGTGGCGGTCTGGCACGTTTCAGGATCGTCACGACGCAACCGTCAGGTTGATCCGTGGCGTTGGAATCCCGAGAATAATGTGCTAGCATGCTTTACGGCCTTCAAACGGTTGTCTTCCAACGAACCAATTCCTTCAATGGAAATGAACCGTTATAGGGGCCTATGAAGAGGGAGCTTGGAGGGAGGGTTAATTACAACATCGTTGATGACTCTTGGGTTTCCACTGGTCCTACTCCTCCTCCTCCTCCTCCTCGTCCTCCTCCTCCTCCTCCTCCGTCTCCTCCTCCTCTTTTCCTTCTAGATAACTTCTCCCTGTCGCACCCCGAGGCTAGTTTAGGGCGGGCGGGGCGTTTCGCCTGAGACTTTCTCACCATTTATGACCCTGAAGCAAAAATATTGGCAACAGTTTCAAAGATGGAGGGCGGGTCGCTTTCAAAATAAGGCTCTCGCTTTGGCGCCGCGCACA